CAGGGTATGTTTGTGTATATGTGTGTGTGTGTGTATACACACACAAATATATATATATATATATATATATATAATATTAATATATATAATTATTATATATATTCTTTTTATATTTTTATACATATACACACACTTATATTTCTATTGGTGCTATATATTTTGAGAACTCTGATATATTAAAATTATTGCACTTGAATCTTGCAAGTGAATATGTTTTCTTACTTATTGATTTTACTTATGATTCCTTTGTCTCTAAGAGATTTGCCAAAGGATACGGTTGATATATAGCTAATTCCAATTTTAGTGATTTATCAATTTTTATATTCATAAGAATAGGATAAAAAGTAGTAATAAAAATGAAAATGTTAGGTTAGGTACAGAACTAATTGAAGAAGTTTCAATAAAAGATTAATTTAATATACTAATAAATAAGTGAAAAATTTGACTCCACCATTTGTCAAGACCAGTGACATATAGAAAATTCAAATGGACAAAAATCAGGATAATTACAGATCAATTAGTACTAGGAGCCCTGCATGAGAAGCACCATCCTCAATTCTGTTAGTACCCTTGGCCAACTCTAAATATTCTTTGGGATGGAATCAGTGCCATACTGTGTATTTTAGGGTTCTCCAGAGATGCAGAATGATAGGACCTCCATATCTGTCTGTCTATTTACCTATCTATCCTCTGACATATAAATATTCTATCTATCTATCTATCTATCATCTATCTATCTATTATCTCTCTCTGATTTATTATGAGGGATTGGCTTATATGATTATACATGCCAAAATGTCCCATGATCAACTGTCTGAAAAATGGAGAGTGGGTGAAGTTGGTGGTATACTTTAGTCGGAAACTGAAGGCCTGACAACCAGGGGTGTTACTGGTCTAAATCCGAGTCTGAAGGAAAAGATGTCAGAGAGCCAGATAAAAAGAAGAACATTCTTTTCTCTTTCACCTTTTGCTCTCTCCAGGACCTCAAAGGACTGGACAATGCCCACTTACTTGGGGAAAATAGTCTACTGTTCACTCATGGAAATTCTAATTTCATTCACAAACAACCTCCTTGACACACCTAGGAATAATCTTTGATCTGGCTCAAAGTGACCTATAGTTGACTATCACACTGCCTTTATTCTTCATCCTCAAAGGTCAAATTAGTCAGCTTTTGTGATGTTAAGTGAAAAGATGGTGAACATTCCAAACCAGCCCAGGAATAATTTCTTAAGGACTATCTACCATAGAGTATTTATTTTTGCTACTATGACTGCTGTTTGGATATGAGTGTTTTTGTGTGTTTGGGGGGCTGATGTGTGACGTATGGACAAGGATAAGGAGCAGCTAAGTTGTCAATTATCATCAAGCAGAGTAGAACTTTGGCATATTAGAATTTAGCTATACAGTGCAAATTGATATTATGGAGATACCTTCACATGAAAATATTTGACCAGTTCAGTGCCTCTCATCTGTGAGTTGTTCCTTAGGGTTTAAAATGTATCTCCTAGAAAATGCAGGACTGATATCTCTGAAAAGCATAATATCATGCTGTTGTACACCAGTAATATTGATGGATTGGTGTATTAGCTAGTACTGAGACTGGTCCTAAAGTAGATGAAATATGGGACTGCATATTTGGGAAGAAAATTGTAAAATAAGATGTATTCCAGGTAGGAGCAATGTATGTATGTGGTGTGTGTGTGTGTGAGAGAGAGGGGGCGGGGGAGGGAGAGAGACTCACTACTTGAAGATAAGATGAGTTGCAACAGGAAATTTGATATCTGGAAGAGAAAGGGGTTGAAATAGAGAAAAAATGTGGAAAATGAAGGTAGACATTTAGCTCTACATATTTTGTTCAGAGATTGTTTTCTAGATTTTTAAAATGGGCATGGTGTTATGTTGTTATTTTTATTTTAAAAAAACTATTGTTGTACTCCAATCATCATTCCCCAATACCTCACCTTCCTTTCACTTTTCCCCTCCCTTGATCTTTCTCTACTCAACTTGTCTCATTTCAATTTTCCTGATGTCCTTTATTCTGTTCTTTCTCTCTCTCTCTGTCTCTCTTTATCTTCCACAGATGAGAGAAAGCATATTACCTTGGACTTTCTGAGTCTAGCTTATCTCCACATGATGTTTTCTGTAATTTTATAAAGGAAAGACTAGCTAACACCTTTTAAAGATCTAAAGAAATAAAAGGGGGTTCATCTGTGAGAGCAGAAAAGAGTACTGGAGTCAGACATTCTACAACCACCTGGGTTCTCAAATCTCTAAAGCAACAGCTGTGTGATTTTCTCATTCTTTTATTCCAGAGTCCCAAAAGTGATGTAGGAGCTGCTTTAAATATGATACAACTAAAAAGGAAAAAAAAAAACACAAGAAATAACACCAAAATTTAGGAGAACTTTGAACAGTTGTATACAAATTTTTACTTATTCCCTACTCAGAAGCACTCATCCATCTCTACTTTAGATTATGTTAGTGGCATCTATGTTCTGTTACCACTTCCCACTGCCTCCCAGGCAAAATTATCAAGTACCTACTTCTTGCCTAAAATCACTAGTCCCAAAATCTTCATTTTCTTATAAGAGTTTATTGTTTTACATGAGGTACCATGCCACTATCAGAGTTATATCCAGTTTTTTTTCTTTAAAAAAATGCAGAGAAAAAAAATGTTTTCAGTAATTTTCATTCAATGTGAATGACAAATATTATAGCTATAAACAGGGAAATAACCATTTCATTTCTTCCTGAGGAAGTTTCATATTTTAAGCAATGAAAAAGGGAATTCTATACAAAGCAATTTTTAAATCATGTTCTCTCTCAGTCTTTTCTCATGTGTATTTATGTTAGTTTCAGAATAGCATGACTGACTGAAATATACAGTGTGGAAAATATGCACATCTTCTGGAATTTGATAGTATATTCAAAACACACGCTGAGTGGTCAAAAATCCTTTCAAACCCTTGCAACTGTATGTAGCATCAAACTCCATACTTTGTGATGGAGTTAATCTTGATGCTATATCTTCCCTTTTTTCTCCTTTCATTATACAAGCACTGAGTATAAACAATTATTTCAAAGGGTGAATTGTTCAGTCAAGTCAATTTACCTTGACAAGAGGATACCATTCACAACTTATTCAGAAATTTAAAGGTATATCTCATCTTTAAAGCGTATATGTATCAACTTTCCTTTTTTCTTTTGTCAACAAAAATGTTGACAAATAAAAACAAGACACTGTATGTAACTGCTGCAGCCTCCTCTCATTGCATCCTTCTTAAGTCAATTTTCTTAAATTAATGGAGATGAAAGATTATTATAATTTTTTTAGTATATTTGGCATATGTTGCTTTGAAAGAGTCAACAGTAGGCATAAAGACTGAATTTCTCATGTTTGTTTAAATGATTTTGCTTTTGCTTTTTACTAAGGGTCTTACAATTGTTTTTCTTCCAATTCTTTCTGCTCTTTGTTTAAAAATTAATGCATTTGGGGGGTACATAAGATCTCAAAATAACATTTAATTGATAATTATAATGTATATTTAAAATTACAGCAAGTATAAGGATCAAACATTTCATTTTCTAATTATTATACAGAATTAGTTTTACACATTATAGTGACAATGAAAATAGTAGTTTCCTTGCATATATTTTTTTAATCATACCTTTAAGGATTTTTTATAAAGACATGTAATCATAGCAGGGAATTTATTTACTATTTAAATTTTGTGTGTATGTGAAGTAATCTAAAAGTAAGTAAATATTAATACAAGAAAATAAGTTGATTTATTTTAAATCTTTTCCTTTTTAAATATTTCATTAAGTAAGTATAAATATACTTCAAGAGTCATGTGATGCTTCATTTAATTTTGTAGCTATCCATAAATTTAACTGTGTTCTGTTATCTTCTGTGACAATGATATGTGAAATAATTTTAAAAATGGGATTTTATTCTTATTTTTCTCTGCCTTTTATTACAATTATCATTTCAAATATAAGATTATAAATCAAATATTAATTTCTGTTTTATTACAAATCTGACATTATATAATTTTATTTTGGACTATAGGAAAAATGTAGCTTTGTAATAATATAAGGATAAACAATCTGAACAATCATCTCGGGAAGCTGTCCTTAGTTTTAATTTGGTAGGTTTTACTCTGGGAAACATATAGGTAAGCTATTCATATCAAAAGATGGTTTGTTACCAGAGATGACACATATCTCAGAGACTCTGCATGCATTTCTGTAGAACTAGAGAGGACTGCTGGAATAGATTTGTAGCACACAGCAAGTGGGTATAGAGWTCTCAATGATATATCTTTAGACCCCTATCCTTTCTCCTTTATAGAGGATTTAGTCAGTACACTTACATTATCATTTWCTATTTTGGTGTACTCAGTGTGTTTCTACGTATCATCCAACAAATTTACAATATATATTTCAGTATAATAGTTACCTTACAATGGAAGAGTTAGTAATTTTTACATAAATGAACTAGACTATATATATGACAAATCACTTTTCTTTTTTTGCTACAGTACTTCTCTTTTTTATGCAGATAAAGCACATGTATAGCTTTTTCACTCTCTGATCTAGCACAAATTACAATTTACAATTCTTTCTAAATACTTCAGTGGATTTAAGTTTTGACAAGCGTTTTTTTTTTATGTGTTATGCTTCTTGAATTTTATGTTATATTGTGAGGTTTATTTTGGTTCTTATTTTGAATGATGCCTCATAGAATCAAAGAATTAAAAATAATTACAGGCAAACAGTGGTCTAAAAATCTGTAGACACAATCTTAGTTGACATATCAAAGTGTAAATATTAATATGAAATGGACAGTTTTGCATTTGTGTTTGTTATTTATGTTTGCTGCTACTGACTTACACATGAGTGCACAGTAAGTAGTCTATGACAATCTCACAGGCTCGGATGAGCATTAAGCAGTAGGCCATAGGCCTCAGGGTTGTAACATATTTTTCTTGTCCTTTTTTTTTTTTCTAATAATCCACATGCCAGCACATGGAAGGAGCCTTGTCCTTTCTTCTTATTTGAAGAGGTATATTTTGATCATCTTTTGGTAGCTTCTGAAAACTTTGGAAAAGATGAATCCTCAACAAGTTTTCTCTCAATGCTATCTCACTTTCTGCAGTTCTTGTCTCAACCAAGATGGGAGAGGTTGACCCAGTTTGTGTAGCAGCTTTGAGAGTTCCACATTGTGATCTCGATAGTAGCTTGACAGAAATGCTCTGCTCTGAGTGGGGAGGGAGAGATACAAGTACATTCAATTTTGTTTATTAAAGTATATTTTATACATTTTGACTATGATTAAATAATCATCAAGTATATCAGATCTGGATTAAAATTTGTATTAAGCAGGTGAACTGTTTATTTTGCCCATAGTGTTTTGTTGACATTTTTGAGGCCCTTTATATTTACCTTTCTCTGAAAACCATATGACCAAACCAGACACTTTAGCCCCTTCAATTTGGTAGGTTTTACTCTGGGAAACATATAGGTAAGCTATTCATATCAAAAGATGGTTTGTTACCATAAATTCATTATGTACTTCAATGAATTCATTATGTACTTCACAGTAACCTTGTAGAGAGATTTGAAATTGATATCTTGAAAAGTTCTTTACCACTATATTTTGTATTTTATCTCAGTGTGTCTATGTGAGACCAGAGTAAAATGAAATGTTAAGAAAAACTTTATATGGTATCTTTTAAATGTTGTAACTTTAATAAATAAATTTTGTAAAAAGTTTGACATAAAAACAATAAATTTTACATTGCTCTCTTGAAATAGTATAGAAATGTCCCTTCAAACTCTTTTAATGTATTAGGATTATTTTAGAGTGCTATGAGGGTATATTTTTATCAACCAAATAAAATTAGAATTCAGAGAATGTAAATTCTTTATCAAAACAGTAGAAGTTCTATTTCCTAATGTCTTTGATACAGAATTTAAGTATGAGCTTTTTGATTACAGGCCATATATCTATCAGGCCTGATACAACAAATAGTTTTCAAAGTCCTGTTAGATATAATTTTCTAATAAATTCAGATAACCTAAGCATTCTCAGACAACCTCAGATTGTCAGTTAACATAAGGTATTATACAATCATAATCTACTTGCATTCTAATAGCCAAACTACATTTTAAGTAGACTGATTATGAAATTAAAATATGAATAAATTTCATGTGCATTAAGTACTAAAGTAAAAATACAGGATATTCAACCTGAAAAATACTATAGCATAAAGTGTTCATCATCTCAGGATACTGAACAGAATAAACAAAGTGCTAGGTACCATAATGTACACATCTCCATTCCTTAAAACCTGAGTAATCAGGCTGGGGATGTGACTCAAGGGGTAACGCGCTCGCCTGGCATGCGCAGGGGAACTGGGTTCGATCCTCAGCACTACATATAATAAAGATGTTGTTTCCACCAAAAACTGAAAAATAAACATTAAAAAAAATTCTCTCTCTCTTAAAAGAAAAAAAAAACCTGAGTAATATATTAGTATATTATACATCGGGGAAATGTATTAATTTTTTTTCATTTTAATAGCATAAAAACAGTTCAATGTTCAGTACATTATAACAGTAATATTATCTAGGCTATACTTACCACTATCGAGTAATTTTGTGGTGACAAAAGATAGAAACCTTTTGCTCCTATTTTCAATTTCTAGTTGATATATTTCCTGTCTTGGATTCAGTTAACCTTTTACCTTTTTAGTGCAAAAATTTCTGTGCACTATCATTCTTTTTAGAATGAGATGATATCTTTCTGTCCTTATTAAAAATTGAAAAAATTCTATTGTTTTCATTTATTCTTGCATGACAGGTAATGTTATAAAATTGAAGAAATAAAAAACCAAACAACATAGATATTCTARAACTCAATTGTCACTTTTAAATTTTAGAAAGTTGGATTTGACTTAATCACTTTTCTAAGAAATCAGATGTGATGTTACTATTTATTCTTTTGTACAAATAGCTTAGATTTTTAAGCTCTACACTTACATCAGAATCCATTGGTGGATATTTTCTTCCTTTACTCTTTCCAAGGCATTTTGTTTTACCTTCTTCCAGCAACTGACACCAGAAACCTTTATGAGAATCAAACCTAAAAAATTACAAACCCCCAAAGAAACCTTAAAGAAATTATTTTTAAGTAGTTTATAAGATATAAAGAATATCAATCTATAACAAATAAAACTGGAAGGTTTTTTTTCTTTTATACTATATCTCTTTGCATAAAATCTTGTGTCATAAAGAATCAAATAGTATAGAAAGACCTCCAGCCATGTCCCACCTGTCTATGGTTACCACCCACTGTTACATGTTTAAGTTAGCATACAATCCTGAAATCCGTAAAGTTAATAAAAATTATGAGCAAGATTTGCACACTGAAAACTCTAATTTCCATGCTAATTTTGTCATAAGGAATTTTCAGTCCCTCTGTCATATTTCTAAGTTTGCCCAATTCTTAATACAAAATTTTTCAGTAAAAAATATCCTATTAATAAAAAATTAAGACTAATTCCTTCATCTGGTATCAAAATATTTATAAATTTTAAGTCCATTTTTATAGGGTTTAAAAATGACATATCAATCTTCATCACTTCTGTGTATCACAGAACTACAGGGTGATTTGAGAGAAAAGATTTTGATGTGCCATGGAATTAGAATTCTATAGCTATTAACCAAATTTAATTATTTTCCAGATAAAAGAATTTCTTCTTTTAATATGAGAGCTATATTAAAGTAATTCCATCTATAAATGGGATTTTCATACTATAATTGTAATAATAATAGTATTACGTTAAATTTATATTTGTTTATCAAAATATTTTGTATTTCTCTATTTGAACCTTCATTATAACCCTGTTAATCAGCTTTTTATTACTGTGACAAAAATACCTGACAAGCACAACTTAGAGGAGGTAAAGTTTATTTTGAGTTTAAAAGTTCAATTCATGGTTGACTGACTATTACTGTGGATCTGAGATAAGGCAGAATATCATAGCAAAAGGGTACAGGGGAGTAAAGTTGATCAGTTCATGGTAGCCAGTAAGCAGAGAGTGAGAAAGAAACCAGGGACCAGATATAGTTCCCAAGGCCATGCCCCCAGAGATCTACTTCCTGTAGCCACTCACCACCATTAGCAATATATAAAGTTTCAAGTTTCACCACTTTCTTGCCAACATCACATATTATCTTTTGGATTATAACCATTGCAATGGGTGTAAACTGGTATCTCAATATGGCCTTAATTGCATACCTCTATAATTACACATTTATTTGTAATATGAAATTCAGTGAGTCGAGAGATAGATTCTGTTTGTAGCAATGTCTGATACAACTTAAAAAGCTCATTTTAAGCTTTCAGTCTTGAAAGGAAGTACTTCCTGTTGATATACTATTTATTACTAAAATTCACAATAGTTTTTGTGACAATGGGAAGAACTTAAGATTGGTCAGGGTAGGTTCCAGAAATAACTGATTTCCAAATCTGCCTCCTTAAACTACTTGCTGAGTAATTTTTGGCTTAATTTTTCTATGCTCTAATATTTTTACCTGAAAAATAGTACTATTTTGCTAATACTACTTATCACACAGTTTTGTGAGGATATATATATACACACACATAGAAATTATTTAGTATGTATAGTAAATATGTTTAGTAAATATATTTCTATTCAAAACTTAACATTTCTAGATGCTTCTTCATAGGTCATCCCAAGGATAACCAGATTTTAGTTACTATGACAACTAGTTTTGCTATTAAAAAGTCTTTATACTGGTAGATTCTTACCCAAACTCATCTGCAGTGAGTTGGGAAAGAACTCCTGGCAACATAATTTTGATTATCAGGATGTGATATTAGAAACATTTGAATTCTTTCTAAATTTAATGCATCTTCAGTCCTTTATGACTTAACCAAGCCTCATAAAAAATACACACACACACACACACACACACACACACAAGAAAAACTATATTCTATCTCTGACTTTTAAATTAATAATTCCCATGCATCAAAGTTTTCAAAGTAAATTTGTATTAAATTTTTATTTAACACAGTCTGGTTTCACTAAACAAATTTATTAATGGGCTGAGAAATGAGACGTCATGTTCAGGTATTTAAGTAACTAGTATTTCTGAATTGAAGACTTCTGTCATGGACATCAATGCCTATGTGATAATTGTGAATGGACATATTTGTGGTAAAATTTAAAATTTATATTTTTAATTTTAATTTATCACATTAGCACAATTCATGTCAAGTTTTAATTTTCTTCATTTTTCAAATATTTAATTATTTTTAAAACACTATATAACACATAACCTGAAAACTAAACTAGTGTCAATATAATAACAATCCTATTGTTCATAATTAAGGAATTAAGTTTTTGTTGGACAAAAGTTTTTAAATGAGGCCTCTCAGCCTCTCTGGATACTGGCCCTCTTTTAAGGCAGTGTGCATTTGATTCAATAAATACCCTGAAATATGTTGTAAAATGTAACTTACTTTTTTGAATGAGAAAGTTCCAAAATGTATTGTTTTAAGCTAATAGTCCTCATTTCAAACCACACCCACACTCACTGAGAAAATCAGATTATTTTTACATATTCAATAAGACTTTTAAAATCCATTATGACAATAAAAAGTAATTTTAAGATCCAGACTATCCAGTTAGTTGGTATAAATTTTGGAATTCTAGAATATTTTCTTTAGTAATCATGGAACTGAATAAAAAACATTTTGACAATGGAGGATTTTTACCATTGCTTTTGAAAATAAGTTTTGATAGTAGAATTTGCTAAACTGAAAATAATCAGTTTAGAAACTTCTTAATTGGAGCATTCTTTCATGCCAAGAGAGTATTGTAAAAACCTTTGTGTATACCTAGTTTCATTCATTTATTCTACTTTGTATAATGCACTGTATTTAAGTGATTGGTTGAGAATTCATATTGGATTTTGTTTAGTAAATCCTTAATAAAGGAAGGAAGGAAGGGTCTTAAGCTGAAAAAGAAATGTAAACACCAAAGAGGTGATATTCACTATCATAGCAGGAAAATAAGAAATGATACCAAAATATATAAAGGATCTCTTAGTTTTTGGTATAAATAACATTTATGAGAATATACACTTTGTACTCATAGCCATCCCAATATTTCTACAGTATCACAGAAACAACTGTCAGAGTTACTATAAGAAGAGTAACTAAACTGTGAAGATGGGGTTCAGATAAACAACTGCAAAGGCTATAGGGTGAAAGAAGACTATGTTAGACCTAAGAAAATGACATGAAACCTCCAAATATTCTACAAGTGCACTAGTGGTTTTCACAAGGTGTGTCAATGATGATCACAAGAAAATATGAAAAGAAACTCACTGGAAGTGCATTGTTATTCTCAGGCATATGACAATTCAATTCAACAGTGAGTCGTTTCTTAAATTCTAATGCGTCTCTTGACCTCCTTGGAGTCAATTACCAAGGAAGATCAGAGGCAATAAAGAAAAAAAAAACTAAAAATAAAACTACCCAAACAAACAAACAAACAAACAAATCATTGCTTTTAACTGCTGAGGTGTCAGAAGAAAGGATGACAAGGTCACATTTATTTTACATAAAAACAAAGGTAAAAAATAAAACTACTGCAATAGAACAATAATAGTACATTTCTCTTTCTCCCTCCCTCTCTCTGTCTCTGTCTTTCTCTCTCTCTCTCTGCCTATGCTGTCACCTATTGGATTATTTCTGCCTGTATGACATTGTTTCTGAAAACTGCAAAAAAAGGCCAGTTCCAAAATTATCTAATCTCCTCTTCATACATCCAAGAGGTTGAAATATTGTCTGTTAAATATGTCAACTTTTATGAACTTATTTCAAGTCTACTCTTAAGGTTTGTTGTTAGTTTTTAGAATCACAATTTTTCCCCCACTTTTCTTCCAGGAGAAATCTGCATATTTAGGAGTAAACAGATGATTTAGGACCTTTCTTCATGACAATRTTTTAATTGTTCTTCCCCAAATGGTTAACATATAAATTGACAATTGCATCACCAAACTACAGTTTCTTAAAATTATTTCCCTGCTGAAAGTTTAATTAATTAATGAGAATACAAACTTACGTTAAAGCTTCTGAGTAATTATAATGAGGAGAGACTCCTAGAAACTTCTGTACTTCATCCATTACTGTAGCAGGATCAGTTCTTAGTTGTTGCCCATCGATAATTAGCAACTAAATCACCAAAATAATAACAATAATTATTATTATTTAATTAATGTTGAAAAAAGACATGTTAACTGTAAAATAAAAAATTTTCTGTTTATTCAGAAACAAGGTCCTAAGGAGAATTGCATGCATCATTATTAGATATAATCACACAGTACTTGTTAATGGCCTGAACCAAGAAATAAATCATGCTAATTAAGCACATTCATTTTTGTTACCTGAGAATTCCTACAAACACTATAAAAGCAAAAAGCCAATTGTGGGGACCAAGAGAGCTTAGAAATTTAACTGCAAAATCACAAATATAAGCCAAGAAAAAAAAAGCAATTATTCCATCATCGATATTGGAAAGGAGCACTGTGGGAAAAAAAAGAATGTTCAAAATAAGCCCAAATGTAATAAGAAAGAAGACATGCCATGTTTTACAATTCCATTCAGGAGTAGCAATGTAAAGTTTGAAGAAATACTTTGATAATTCATATGAAGAAGGTAAGAATTCTCAGAGAACCAGTGCATGTACATAGTTCCTCAAAAAACTAAGGGGAAGAATTTGTTACTATGATGATAGTGGACCCAGCAAGATAAAATGACTGAGGACGGAATGGAAGGTTACAAAGCCTGTAATGCAACTCCAGCCCATACCTATTTTCCAATATTTCTATCAGTCTAGATTAGCATTACTTAATGGAACTTTCTGTGATAATGAATGTTTTATAGCTGCGCTAACAGGTAACTATTGAGCATTTGAACCTGGATAATACAAATAAGAAGCTGCATTTTTAATTTCTCTTAATATTAATACAAATTGAATTAACATTAAGTGGTAATAGCTATCACATTGGACACTGCAGTTTTAAAAGTGCAAGTACACACCACATCTGATATGACTAATGGTTTATACAATCCAAAGGATTTGATTTGGTAACCTAAGTTGATGCCCGCCCCCCCCCAAAAAAAAAAAGAGTAAGGAATGTGATAAAAGCATAAGACTTCCAAAAATTTTAACAAGGTGATTCAGAAGCAAAATAACATCACTTAATTAAGCAAAACAATATTTGCCTTGTTTAGTTAAGAGGCTCCCTTCAAGCTTTATTTATGTCAGAATAAGAATTAGGGATCTAATCAGGAAGCTATTGAAACTCTTTACAATCAGGTAAGGCACCAGAAAATGGAACAGGAAAAATTACTCTGAAATACTTTCCAAAAATCAGACTACTTTTCTACTTTGCCTCTCTATTTTTCTTTGCCACAGTCCATTATTTATAAGTAAGAGGTAAAAAGCTAGTAGTTTTAATGAGTAAAATTTTCCTCTATCCTTGAGGCAAAATCATCAACTTAATGAGATTGTTACAAGATGTAAATTTTTATTGCTCCATACCTGAAAGGGAGGGAAATAAACAAGCCATCTCTCAATGTGGCTGGCATACCACCCAGGGACCAAACATCTCTTCTGCAAGGTTTTAAGCTCCGTGGGTGCGTGGGGCCCGGCTGAGATGACTTCGTAGAAGCTAAACTTCAGAGCTGCAGGGTCTTCATGGGATCGCTGATGCTGATAAAAAGGTGGATAATTAAACTAACTTGAAACATAAGCATAAATAATTAAAAGCCAATCTTTCTGACAAGTCCTTAAGCTAGAGGAAAGAGTGCCTCACTGCTGGAGAGTTATTTATTTTGAAATTAATAAAGGATGAAAATGTTTGCTTGAAGAATCAAAATTTAAAATTATGACATTGATGAGTACGTATTTTAGAGGATGAATTCTTATTGGTAGAATTCCTTARCCAACTTTACTGAGTTTTTTTTCCCCTTTGTATATATATTTTACCTGAAAGTAAACTTTTGAAAGCTACATTATGTCCCCTTTTCTGCCCATAAGAAAATCATTCATCAAGCTCAGTGGATACCCGTAATACATAAACACTAGTTCAGCCAAATAATTTTTGTTCTTCCTTGTAATGTAGTTTTTAGATCAGGAAAAAAATCCTATTTGCTATTTAAAATGGAGAAACTCTGACATATACATTATCCCAAATCCATAGATTTTATCATATATTACCTAGCATCTGAAAGCCAAGATTATTTTATCTAAAGGTAACTTTTGCAGTGAATCAGAACCATTTATTGTTCAGAAAATATAGAAAGCAGCAATCCAAATATGAAAGTGTTTCATAATGACTCAGATACCAGCCCATGGATTTGAGAAAATCATCTTTTCCTTAAATTGACCAATAAATATTCAGGCTTAGTGGTAAGATTGTAAATGTTTACCACAGCTAGTTGAGAAGCAAATTTGCTTTAGTTAGGATTCAAATTATTATACTATAAACTCTAATAAACTTTGTTAAGGTCTGCATTTTACCCTGTGGAGTGACTTATTTGCAATATTTAGAGTGTTTTGTTAGTTTGCATCCTTGAAACCTTCTTTTTCTGTAAATTCCCAATTTTTCAGAGGCTAAGTGATTGACAAGCTCCAATTTTCTTCTGTCTTTTGGAGTCAATTAAGGCTTATTTCTCTTTTCTCCAGATTTCCTATAGAAAAGGTAAAAGGTGCAAAATCAAATCTGTCAATTTTTAGTACACCTAACTAGAATTCTGTTTTGTATGACCTTTCCTCACTCTGCCCCTGTCACAAAATCTTTCCCAATAACCTTTTCTTCTATTTGTAAACCTGAAAAAAATCTGCTTTTGTTAACTAACAAAAGGTATCTTGGTGTTAAAAAGCTATATTCTTTAATTTAATATCATAATTTCAAGGAGTTTCCTGTTTGAAATCATATCAGTGGAACATCCCACCCACCCCTGGTGAGAGGATTTGAGCTCTTAATATAAGGTAATTTGCTGTGCTCTAAGTAAGTATTTGCTGAGGTTAATATAAGGTAATTTGCTGTGTTCTAAGTAACCCACAAATCTTCACCAGAGGATTGTGGGTTACTTAGAGCACACCGAATTACCTTATATTAACCCCCCAAAAGAGTTTTTGTATACACGATATTACATATTCATCTTAGCTTCATAGTTTCAAAGAAATATAGACCATAGTCTGTTTTTTTAGCCTGCTAATAATTTATTTATACATAGTTATGTTTTACCCCTCCCAGAACAATCCATCACTTCAACCTCACCTCAATTTCTCCCCTTATAAATCCCTCACTTCTTCAGAGAATGTGTACTGATTCTTCTGGAGTCTGTATCTCTGCTGCAGCCAGTTAATCATTCCAGATTGTTCCCTGTAGTCTTTAAGATGGACTTTATCACAGAATGATGCTATCAGTCCATCACTTACTTCTTTCTAATTTATATGGTTATTTACACATACAGCATTTCACCAATTATGTAAAACACAGTCTCAAGTATAGCAGCCACATTTATTAACATATGTTCCATCACTTTCAGAACAAAACTTGGCACATAGTTGTCATTAATATTATTGATGAATGGATGGAAATATAAATAATAGGTATTTTTCAATTAAAAGTTGAGCAATGATAACAAAGGATCGGGGAGACAAGATACTGATTTTGTTATATTCTTATTTTTAATTTTGAATGCCTTTTATTGAAATTTTCCATTTGGTGATTAAAATATCACTGGGACAGTTTTTTCTCTATTATTTAATGATTTATTATAAAATATACTTTATATACAAGTATTATTAGAATCTGTTAAATCATTTTAAAGTGATGGTATCTGTGCTAAGTTCTCACCAACCTCAGAAACATAATGACAATGACTATATGAGAAGAGACTTAGAACAGGTTTAGACAGATTGGACTTCCAGTGATGAAGAATTCTTATATAAGCTTTGTCTCTAAGTTACTTCTAGAGTGCAAACATTTATTTAGATTCTTTCAGAACTGGGGCAATAATCTATGGATGCCTAGAGTCTGTTTTTGTTTATAAAATTCTATTGGAACACAACCATGCTCTTTCATTAACATATCATCTATGGCTACTTTCAAAATACAATTACAGAGTCGCAAAAGACCTTACAACATTTAAAACATGAAATTTTGCTGTTTAGTCCTTTATAAAATATAGATGGATAAAAATTCATGATTTTGAAATGCATGCTTAAAATACAGATGTATAGAAGAACAGAGGGTACGTAAATAAATGTATATCTCTACACACAGACAAACAAGCATATATTTTGTTTGTTATGTTTCAATTTAATTTCTTTCTTGTATTAACACATTTTGTTAAATACACTAATAAAAGATTAACACAGAAAGGTGTTTTTTTTTTTTTTTTTTTTTTTTTTTTTTAGGAAAAGTCATCTACTTTTCTGCTGATACCATCCAACTAGCAGATCTTCTCTTTTGTTAATACCTGAGATGGAGGCTATTGCTAAAAATGATCTTCCATTGTCCACGCTCCCCTTCCCCCAGTTTGATTTGTTTACCCTTACCTGGTACCAGGAGTATGCTCGGTCTGATGGGTCAATGAGAATGCTGATGATCTTGGCTTTGGGGACTAGGGAAGCAGCTCTTTTAGGAGCTTCTTCTGAGTGGAAATAATTGGCACTTTTCTCAAACAGAAAGTCAGTAGTAACATTAGATGGAATTGGGAAGAAATCCATATACCTAGAAAAGGAACATTTTTCTCAAAATAAGATCCTGTTTTACACTTATGTACTAGTGACTGAAGATAATAGAGGTGTTCCAYATATTCATTTCTTTCCTAAATAAAATTTTGCCTTTAAGGTATTTTCCTCTATACTTAGCAAGGGAAACATCCAGAACACTAATAATGCATTTAAAAATGTTTTTCTAAGTACATTTTGTTTGCTTAGTAGCAGAATAAAGATAAGAGATGATAAAAATGTAGACATAGAATAATGGCAACAATAATCAATCTAACAATTTAAAATATATCTAAATGGATTAATATTGTACAGATGAAATTCTAAATATTGAAACAGGAATAAAATTTGATCAAAATAGATGATGTACTCAGTTCAAAGGTATTTTAAATGAATTAGAAAAAAACATTTTTTACGTTATCATAATAAAATAATTTTATCTCCACTAGTGTGTTGAGTTGATGTTACTTAAATATCTGTTGTAAATGTTATTTATTTGTTTCTGTCATATAGAACCACTTACATCTCTCTTTAGAGTAATTACAGTGAAAGATTAAAACATATATATATATATATATTTACAAATATAAAACCCAATCCAAATTTCCAAGGTTAGAATTTGTATTTTATCTTTTATAATCTATTTACCTCCAGTGTTAACAAGGGGATACCTGTAGTCTCAAGTACAGAAATGGAGGATTCTGCTTCATGTTTTGTATTAAAGGATAAAAGTTGTCAAGTATAACAAAATCAGCAGATGATCATATATATTTCTAAAGCAAAAAAGGGTCATGTTTTAGAGGAAAAAGGATTCCTTAGAAACTACGTGGGTTGCATACATTTTATAATAATAGTTTCACTCCCCACCACCAACCCCTTCAATTCTTAAGCCACTGTGACTATAGACAAACAAGAAAAGGTAATTCAATAATTACTGAACTGAACAGTAATTAACATACATGTAAGGACTTCTTATCATAGTATGTTGTTTTCTTTAGAATGAGATCATGCAACTTTCATAGACTTTTCAATTGTGAGATCTCATAGTTTCACATAACAGTGTTTGTGGTGATATTCCAGTTGTTGAAGCATTACCAACGAGTTATACTTCAACCTTTTAGTGATGTCTTAACACTCAGAGAAGTAAAGAAATCCTTTTATGTTTTCTGGAAATTGCATTGCTGATGATAAATCATTCTAGCCTCCTTTCAGAGAGAAAGAAATGTACAAAACTTTTGGGAGAGTTGATATGGTATGTCTTCTGGTATATACTCTAATTACAGAAAGTGCCACATTTTGGGGTATTATTTAGAAGTTCATGCTGGTTGCAGGGGTGCTAAGGTTATAAAGAATGACTAGTGGTACCTGTTTGATCTAAGCTTGCCTCAAGCTTGCCTCAAGCTTGCTTGTTTTGAGGATGGTTCCAAATAGCACAAAAAAGAGGAAATGAGCTGATTTTAGATAACTTTTACTTTCTAACAAAGTGTCCTACCTTCACAGCAGTTTTTTATAGCTGAAACAGTTTAGGATTTCAAATCCTATGTAGTTCTGAATGTTGGATCTATAGTGTGTTAATTTTGCCTGGCCTTAGATGCTCACAGAGAAAATAATATATGATCACCTATATGTTCACAATTTCTACTGTAGAAATGTTGAAGCGCCATATAGATTTGAAAGAAATTGATAAACAAGCAAATAAATAAAAGAAATCAGGTTCATATTTATAGTATTGGACCTGGATGCTCCCCAAAATGTTCACTTTTGGAAAATATACATTCAGATTATCCATAGAATTAGCAAGCACACTAGAATGTCTTAACAATTTGAGGGCTAGAAGTGAATGCCTTCCTCCCTCAGCTTTGCTACTTCTATTAAACATAACACCTCAGCATTTTTTTTCTACCTGAAAAATGTATATATATATATTTATTTTTTGAATACTCGACATTTATTTGCTATTTGAGCTGACTCTGAGTATTTATATTTTTATTTGATTTTACTTAAAGCCACATTATGACTATAGGGGTTCTAAATGTTAACAGGATTGTATAGCTTTCCAACCTTCCAAGAATCCCATGTAACTAAAAATAATAATACCAATGGGTAAAACATTAAACTTACATGCATACATAACTCAAATATTTTTCTGAGAAGTTCCAATTGCAAATGTCAACTATTTGTCAAAGATAATGTTTTCTAATTTTTATTTGCCTTACTTTGTTTGTACCCTAAGCTGCTTGTCAATTAAAGCAACCCTAGCTTTATCCATTCTCCAAAAATGCAGATCCAAGAACCCAGATAAACTAGCTATGCCTAAGTTAATTCTTTAAATGACCCTGGGACTCTGAGACACACAATCGTCTACACCTTTTGAAACTGTGATTATAAAAAGATACCTAAATAGTTAATGCTTCATAGAGAAACCAGACCAGTCTGACAAATGTGAATATGTGAAGTTGTTGCATGCAAAGCTATACCTAGTGTTATATATTAAAATTTGCAATAATTATCTGTCATTTGAATTAACTGCCTTTTATAAGTATATACTTTATCAATCAAAAATGCTTGTGTTTTGGGGTAATTTTAGTGAGTTATATTGAAAACCCTTCATTGTTTTTTAACTGTCTATTTATTTAAGTCCTATCCTTATAAATGGCTTAAGAAACTTTTTGTTCATATTACAGTGCCTATACTGTACTAGTTATGATCAAGAAGGTTTTATTTGATATAATTCATGACAACAAAAAATTGATTATTCCCACAGTCAAGCAGCAGCTGAAGTAGTTGATGGTTATCAATCCTCCCTGCTATTATTTAACACCACATAATGAACATCAAGCTCTATATAGAAAAATTGGCAGTGACATACATAACAATTTTAGCATATGTGAATTCTAGTGGGTGTTCAAATTTTACTCAATCCATTACTTTACCTTTTCATTCATACTACCTCAAACAACACTTGAGGTGGTGGTACTTATAAAACTGAGATCACATAATATGACAAAACAGATATTAACATACATGACTCTTCTTGCTAAAATCAATGCAAAATGTGTGTTTATGCTCTAGAATTATTACAAGAATTTCACTCCTTTAAATTACTCCGTCTAGCATTATACCCTAGCAGCAAAATCTCTTGATATATTTCATGATTAAAATGTTACATTGTACCATCCATTTCTACTCTATATTATAGTTTTGTATGTATCTACATTTTCACATTTTAACTATTTTCTTAAGATACCTAATTTATTTCTAATTTCAATTCAAAGGTAAACATTTAAATTTCATAAATTTTGATAGTTTTTATCGCTTTCATTACTCATGAGATATATACACATTTATATTTCGATATACTTATTATTACCTTTTATACAAAAACAAAATAAAAAAGTATATACATGAATTATAGCACATAATAAATGWATTATAGCACATAATAAAAAGTGCACAGGAGAAAAATATGAAATTTTTTTCTTAAGAGTATAAAGGAATGAAATTCCTGAGTATCATACTATTTTTTCTATTTCACATTTGTGATCATCACAGATAATTGATGCCAATTGAAGTTACATGTGAGCCTCATGAAACAACAAGTGACTCCATAAACTGAAATGAGTGTGTTATGAATGATTTTCTGTGTTCCTTCATGTTATTTGATCAGTTTCCAAGCCACCCAGGATAACTTTTATTTATGGATACAAACATATATGTTTCTAAATGTTAACACTAAGTTTATACTATGCACAGTAAACAAACTTTTAGATTTATACTAATAACCCATCTTACCAATCAATCCCCCTGTGGTAGTTATTTCTATTAAAGAACTGTACCTCCTCAAAGGTTTTTGGGCTGGGGGAGTTACTAAGGATGGAAGGATGCATAACCAGGAACAGAAACAAAGCAGTGGTACCTGAAAAGACAAGAGAAATTTAGAAATTAATGTAATGAAAAGAAAGTTTCTACTATTAGCATTTCAAAGTTATTAAGAAATTAAATAATGTAAGGATCCAAACAGATTCATTATAATTACTCCTTGGATTAAACTTAATACACATCTAGCATTTAAAAAGAAACATATTCTAAAAAATGGAGATAAAGGGATGTGAGAAGAAGCCTCTTTCAGGGATTAAGAGAATCAGCTTTTCATTTTAGTTCAATCACTGATTTGGTCTGTGGCACTGGCTTTTAGCTTCTTTTTGTTTCACTTTTCTTAAGTCCTTGTATATTTCATGTATTTTCTCAGTGGATGAAAGACATAATGGACCTGAAGATATTTTAACTTAATATAGTACTGTATAAATAAAATATGTTATTAGTCAATATATTACATTACCAAAATGAATAGTTTGGTTCTCCTATAAAAGTTATTGCTAAGGTTGATGAAAGTTAATTAAACAGAATTAAATCTTTTAAGAAGTTATCATAAACTTGAGTGTTCTTTCATATTTATTACAGTAATATAGATATTGTTTAACTTGTTAAATTTGAAAAAAAATTAGTATCATTTCTTATTGACATAACTTAAAATATTAACAATTTATTGAACAGAGAATTGTGTATCCTAGGAATCCATGTAAATTTGCAACTATTGTGGAACAAGGGTGTGAATTTTTTTAATCGAGCAATGTCATAAGCTAAAGATTACTATTTTATTTGTCTAAATTAAGAGGTAGAGCATGCAGCTTAGTCATACATCTACAAAAGAAAGGGAGACAGGTTAGGTTCAGTTTTTCAAAGATTTAACCATGTACTTAAAACTGTGAGTGTGTTTATAAATCACAACATAAAAAATTTTCTGTACTATATATTCAGTACTCCTGGGAGAAAAAATATACTACAGATTCTACTTCTCTATTTTACTGTGACTCATAGTTTTTACAATCTGATGGAATAGGCTTTGTTAACTGTATTCCAAGTTGATACATAGAAATAGTAATCAGACATGATCTTGCAATATTTCTCTTACTGGAGAAATTACTGTTCGAATTTTGCTTTGTAATACTGTCATGTTGCCATTTGCACAGAAGTTTGAATTTTCTTATATCTCTGATAAGCTTTCGGTAGTATTGTACTTAAATCTACCATATCCATCAATAGAAAAATCATTAAAATTACTATTTTTCAACTAATTGAATATTGACAGGTAAATTAATTGAAAGAAATAGTGTTTCTAGATTACGTCTGAGCCAAACAATGAACGCTTTAAATATAATCACAAATAAATGTAGGAAATTAAATATTTATCTATGATATACAAAGTAAAAATGTTCTTCACAAGTTTCACTTAAAATAGTAATTTTCAATTTTTAGCATATATCAGATTCACTAGAGTGCTTGTTACAACACAGATAGTTGGGACCTATCCCAGAATTTCTGGATTGAGCCATACTGTGGTGTGGCTCAAGAATTTGTCTAGCTGGGGTTGTGGCTCAGTGGTGGAGCATTTGCCTGGCATGTGCAGGGCCCTGGGATCGATCCTTGGTACACATAGAAATAAATAAATTCAGGTATTATATCCAACAATAACTAAAAAATATTAAAAAAAAGAATTTGCACTTCTAACAAACTATCTGGTGATACTTTGGCTGTTGGTTTGGTGATCATCTTTGAAAATCACTGAATTAAAAGAAATGTTAAACAATACACAAAACTTATTGGGGGAAAAATTCTATAGTATTTGACATTTACAGTAAAGTATAAACAGCATGCTATTTGGAGTCAGGTAAATCCTAGTGTCAAAAGTTTTGTTTCTAGTACTTATCAGCTATGTGAACTTGAACAAAAGCTATTTAACTTTCTGGATCTCAGTTTACTGATATGTGTAGTGGAGAAGAAAATACTTGATCAAAGTCAAGTGAGATAATCTGTGAAGTATTACCTATTTAGTGCCATATCTGAATATTTGTAAAGCATTTTTAAAAATAAATTCATTGGAATGTGATTTAGAATTTAAATAAGTAAAAATACTAAATATGTTTATATCTCAATAATATAGTTGAGATGCCATTCAGAAAAAAGCATACATCCTTTTAATTAATTAATTAACTTATTTTTGTTGTTGGGAATATAACCCAGGATTTAATGCATGCTATACAAACACTCTGCCTCTAAACTATATCCTCAGTCCTAAGTGTTTTTTTTTTATTTTCAATGAAAAGAATAAATATTTGTAAAAATAAAAAACACAAATATTATAATATAAAAATAAACGTTGATTCTTTTCTGAAATATTTTGGAAAAACACTCTTTTCTGATTTTTATTTTTAAGAATTATTGCTTTTTAAAATAGAGTTTCATAACCAGCATCAATTAAAAAAAACAGAAAAAATAAATATAATGTAATTATTTTTCATAGTCAATAAAAGGTATAATTTTTCAGTGGTCAAAAAATAGATACGTGATTTCTGAATTCCATCTTTATCCACACATATTATTTGGGCTGGATAAACTGTTTTGTATATACATTTTGTCAATAGTAAATCAAGTACATAATGATAGTTATATACATTTAAAAAAAAAACCTGTGAAGCTTTAGTTTTTATTTATTTTTTGTCACTGTAAAACACTCAAAAGTATTTGAATATCCAGATAACCAAAAATCTATACAAAACTAACCAAGAAAATACTTGTGACAAAACTGAAGTAAAAATTAAAGTTATTTAGTGTGGTGCATGCCTGTGGCTCTAGCGGCTGAGGGAGGAGGATGCAAGTTCGAGTTTAGCCTCAGTAACTTAGCGAGACCCTCAGATTTAGCAAGACCCTGTCTCAAAATTAAAAAGAAAATAAATAAATAAAATTTTTAAAGGGGAGGGCTGGAGATGTAGCACAATTGTACTTTATAATATAGCAGTAAAGAGTCCCTGGGTTCAATCCCCAGTACCCTCCCTCCCCCACCACACACACAACAAAGTGTGGGAAAATAAAGCTATTTAGTTCTTATGGGATTGATCTGAGGAAATATTTTTGTCTGAGTAAAATATTCAGTTCCATAAAATGTTGATAGATATAGATAGAATGAATGAATCTTAAAAGTATCATGATAAATGAAAGAAGTTAAATACAAAAGACTATACACAGCATGGTTCCATTTATATGGAATTCTAAAAAAGGTAAAACTACAGTGATAGAAAGTAGTTGCCTTTGGCTGGGGATATGATGCAGCTTAGAGAAACTAGCTGCAAAGGGATATGGAGAATTGTTTTGAACAACACTATTCTATAATTTGAATGTGGTGGTAATTATGTAACTACAGTTCACAAGATTTATCGAATTGACATCTAAAATGGTTGAATTTTAATGTAAGTAAATTATATCTCAATAATATGGGGAAAAATCAATTTCTATGAAAGGGAATAATTTTCAATATTATTTTCCAAAGACAAATGTCATATCCAAATAATAGCATATACACTTGGAAACCAAATTGAGTTTAGAATAAGAAATAATAATTCTGCCATCTAACCATAATATTAAAATACCTGTTTATCCAGCCCAGCATAAGAGGAAGCATCCCCTGCAGGGCTTCCTGAAGCAAACGTGGTATGTCAAGCTTCAGAGAGTAGATGTACTTATCCTTGTATTACTGACAAGGTTATTTGATGACAGTGGGAGTTCACTGAAAAGGCTTCAGTTTCAATGTTTTCCTAGATGTCTTTTGACTTTAGATAGATAAAGACAAGTGAAATAAATAAGCACAAAGAAAAATGTCATCAATACTGTTTTCAGATTGATATTTGCAAATGGGACTAAGAAAAAAAATTAAAATACTTAACTCTCTGTGGACCTTGCATAGAATTCTCTTCAGCTTTTTCCTGAGTGGAATAGCAACAATGCAGTTGAATTGGCTGTTTTCCATGAAGCCAGAATCCAAGAGCCTCAAATAATTTATCACGCAGGATACATTTTAAATGTCTGGCATTTTAAAGCTTCCATTGGGCTTCATTTTAATACTGATTCTTACAAAAACAAAAAATTTATGGAAAAAAAATTGCACACCAATTTAGGAAATGGTACAAAAGATTTCTCTTGGGTATGAATAAATACCTTTTTTAGCACAAACTTTTATGTTTCACGTTTAGGAATTCTGCTTGTCAGCTATCTTTTAAACTTTTAAAAATTAGTCATCTCTGCAAGATATTGTTTACAAATAAATTATATCATGGAGATGGTAGACTAAAGAGGAGTTTATTATAGAGTACTAGATGGGGTTTATTATAGAGTACTAGGTATTTATATGTGTTCCTGTTGACTTTTGACAGACTCCTGTAACACTTTCTAAACACATGATTAGTTTTGCTTTCTGTTAACGTTTTTCAATGAAGATCTTTGGGAAAAAATGATATGTTCCACCAAATTAACTGCTGGATATTCAAAATGTATGACATCTACCTCATCCTTTTCATTAAAAAAAAAACACTTTGACAAAACACTTAAGTCTATACTGAACTAAACAAAGATCATGTAAGAAGATAACATGTTATTTAACCATCAGTTTTATAGGAAGTTTAAGAATTCACTGTCTAGTCATTTATATTTTTACATTCTTTGGTTAATCATAGCATTAAAGTTCTTACCAGTTTTCTGGGGTCCTATTACTAAGAATTTTGGTAAGCGATCACAGGTTTTTTCCTTTGACCATATGTCTCTGTGGCGTTTGTCATCACAAGGATTCTAAATTGAAGAAGAATATAGAGATGTATTTGTGTATGTTTATTGTGTATTATCATTTTCAACTTTTATCCCTAGAAGATATCACAGGAAGCAACAGGATAAACAAAGACAATTCTTTTGGTTTTTAATTTTTTTAATTGAAAGTCCTGAAATGGCATGACAGGTGTCTTTTCATACTGAAGCTGAAAGTGAGGAGGTGGGAGAGGATATATATTTCAATTTAATATATTCATATATTTCTACATAAAATCTCATAGTATTTATAGTTTAACATTTTTCTGTTACTGGCCAGTTCTAGGTTCTAATTTTTTGCATATATATATATATATAGAGAGAGAGAGAGAGAGGGAGTGAGAGAGAGAGAGAGAAGCGCGTGTTGAGCAGACTATATTTCCTGCCAAACTAAACGTTGACTAATTCAATATCAATATTAAATAAATAAATGAATTTAAGTGTCAGATTTTTATTCTAAGTAACTTTAAGCTTCCATGCTGTGCTTCAAAGGGATTTCCCTGCTGTGCTTCAAACTGTGCTTCAAACAGATAGGGATCTAATCATTATTATAATATTTAAAGAGATAGCCAACCCTTCAGATGCCTTCAAAGATTGGTAATGTCTATCTAAAAATGTAACTTTACAGACTATGATGTTGAAAAGTACTAAATTTTAGAAAATGGGTAAAATGAAGGTGAATTACTTTTAATATTCTGTTTTATACTTATAATAACTTGAAACCAATATCCATTGTGTAAGATATATCTAGACTATCCCTAATTTTTAACTTCAAAGTTTTATTATGTAATATTATGTGAATAGGGAAGAATTACAGTATTCCTGAATATTATGTCAAGACTGGGCAAACAGGACCATTTTAAAATTTATATTCAATTAATATTGTAATCTGTGTTTTTAGTGAAGACTAAGGTGAGAATATTCATATTGCTGTTGGGAAAAATGTTATTTTAAACTTGTTATTTGAAGTAATGATTTTGTTTAAAAATAAGGTGTTCAATAAGCAGGAAAATTTTATGTCTTTCCAGTGGATAACATTTGATGATGTTTTTGTAGTAGTAAGATGAAAAGATACTTGTTATAACAACTAAAAAGTAATATGCAGCTATAACTCCACAACCACCAACTTTAACCTGCTAAATATAGTTATGTCTCTTCTTGGAATTATCTGTTTATCCCTAAGGAGTAATTAGTTTTCAGGTTTGGCTGAATGGATTTAATATAGAGTTCAAAGTTGACCACAACTTCAATTTGTGAATATATTGAGTTTTACTTCTGAAGACTGTGTTGTTTTGTCATCAGCTCTGCACAACCTCTGGAGTAAGCAAGCATGGAACTGTTTCATTTTCTGCAACAACAGTAGATGTGTCACTTTGCTTAACTGACTCAGCCTGTTTTTGACTTGGTATGATCATTTATAAAGTGCGGATAACAACTATACCTACCACATAGACATTTGTGTTGGTTAAATGAATTAACATATGTGAAGAGCCCAATGTGACGAGTAATAAGTATATTAAGTTATTTGCTAAGATTATTTCTTTTCACAAGTTATGTCATAGAAAATTTTGGTTCAACATGGTTCCCACAGTTCTACAACACATAACTGTGCTTTGAAATCTGGTTATCCCTAGAGCAGTTTAATGTGATTTTTTTTTCTTAAGAAGTTCAGTGATTTATCTATGAAACATGTCACCTTCCCTGGGTCCAAAATAATCCACAAATAATATTTCTGAAAGCAACTGCTATTCTGTAGCTACAAGCCTTGTGGTTCAGGAAGCAGATGTCAGAAGGGAATGCTTCTCTGAGACCCTTTAATGTGCATTAGTCATTTATAGATCAGGGAATGTGTTAAAGGCTGACTGGTTGACTATCTGCCTAGCACAAAACCTGTTTACAATCTTCTACTCTTTCAACCTATTGAAATCTGCAAATAGATATCTCACTCCTGATTGAAAACATTATATAAACTGAATTTCCCACTGAAAACACCATAATTTCTAAGGATCAATAAAATAGAATCCAGCTTAATATGGAGCAATAACATAAGACCACAATTATGAAAGAAACAGTTTCTCAGGTACACTAGCATTTCCCAAATGTACTTTTTTTTTCAGATGCCTTCACTCTTTCAGATTTGGAATATCTCATAGAGGTACACAATTTGATCATGGGATTCATTAGTTGTACTAATAATTGAACCAATTTTACCTGCCAAAGAGGGTCTTTCTGATCAGGGAAGAGTTCAAAATACTTGTGAGCCAGTTGCACTGGTGGCAGAGTCTGAAGACGCAGGTTGGTCCAGGTCTGCATGAAGTTGGCCAGATTAACAAATGTATATAATCCCAGTCGGTCATTCCCATAGTTAGACAAATGAGTCATGAAAATACTGATCTGAAAAGGCAAATGAACTTCACTGTAAACATCAGTTATTTTAATACTAGAAGACAACATAAGCATAGCAATATTAGTTTTTCCACCCTAAGGAGACAGTGTAAGGTTTTATAACTTTGAATTTCAGACATATTTCTAAACTTCTCTCATTATGTTAATGCATACTATAGGATGTGTTACAACAAGACTTAATGAACACTTTCCCTGAAATTTTGATATATTTYATAACAAAAATAACATCAAAGCTGAGTGTAAATCAGTGGTGTAACATACCCATGCCTTTGTAATAAAACTAATCCAGAATAAGATATCCTAGATATCAACACCTAAAACCTTGTGATATGTAGATAATTAATCATATAGAGTGGCAGTATTTTAGGAGGTTGGGATTTTGTAATTCGGTCTATTTAATTCAATTTATAACACTGTATTTCCAATTTAAAGGGCATAAGTAATCATTGAATTATTGTTAGCATTAACTGAACCTCCTCTGATATGCATTTCTTAGAAGCTATAATAACAAAAAGTGCCTTAGTTTTTATTTTCCATAAATAATACTTAGTGTATTATTCCCAATATAAAATGCCTTTCTAAGAAAAGTTTTTCAAGGCTGGGCATAATGTGCACACCAATAATTGCATTGGCTCAGGAGGCTGAGTTCAAAGCCAGCTTCAGCAATTTATTGAGGCTCTAAACAACTTAGTGAGACCTTGTCTCTAAATAAAATATAAAAAGGGCTAGGATGTGGCTCAGTGGTTAGGCGGCCCTGGATTCAATTTCCGATAAACATACCAAAAATATATGTTGGAGAAAAGATAGTCTTTTAACAAATGGTGCTGGAAAAACTGGATATCTGTATGTAGAAAAATGAAATTTTATCTCTATCTCTGACTCTGAACAAAAATTAACATAAAGTGGATCAAAAACCTATGATTTCAGAAGCACTGAAAATGCTACAAGAGAATATAGAGTCAAAATTCTAACACATTATTTCCAGCACCAACTGCATTAACAATACTCAACATTAACATCAACACATGATATTAACAAGCTCAAAAAATAAAGCCAAAAATATATAGATGGGATGGCATCAAATTAAAAAAGTTTCTGCACAACAAATGAAACAATTAAGAGCACAAAGAGAGAACACACAGAATGAGAGAAAATCTTTGCCAGCTACACTTCATACGGAGCATTATTATCCAGAATATATAAAGAACTCAACAACAAAATTTAATACATACATATAAAACAAATGTAACTCAAATAACCAAATCAATAAAAGGCAAATGAATTAAACAAACATTTTCAAAAGGAAAAATAAAAAAATGACCAGCAGATATGTGAAAAGTATTGAACATCCTTAGCAATAGGGAAATGCTAATTTAAGTGACATTGTGATTTTATCTCACTCTAGTAAGAATGACAATCATAAAGAATACAAATAATTATAAATGCTGGTGAGGATGTATGGGAAAAGGTACATTCATACATTGTTGGTGGGACTAGAAATTAGCACAATCACCTTGGAAAGCATATGGAGACTCCTCAAAAGACTAAAAATTAAATCACCATATAACCCAGATTTCCCACTCCTTGTTATTAATCAAAAAGTACTCAAATCAGCATATTATAGCAATACATGCATACAAGGTTTATAGCAGTATAATTCAGCCACATTATGGAACCAAGCCAGGCGCTTATCAACAGATGAAGGAATATTGAAAATGTGTATATAAACAATGGAAGATTTCTCAGTTATAAAAAATGGAATTATTCCATCTTCTGGTAAATGAATGGAACTACAGACCATCATGTTGAAAGATATGAAAGTCTAACTCAAAAATTTGAATATTCTCTCTCATATGCAGTAAAGCTAGAGAAAAATAGAATTAAAAAAAGGAAAGGGAATCCTAGGAAAATGAAAGGAGAACAGTGGAGTTGAGGAAGGGACTTGAAGGGGAGGAAACAGGCATGGGAAAGTAGATGAACTGAAATGAAACTGACCAAATTGTGCCATGTGCATGTATGAATACATCACAATGAATTGCACATTTATCTATTAGGTACAAATTACAAAAAGAAAGAAGAAAGAGAGAGAGAGAGAGAGAGAGAGAGAGAGAGAGAGAGAGAGAGAAAGGAAGGAAGGAAGAAGGAAGGAAGAGAGGGAGGGAGGGAGGGAGAAAGGGAGGAAGGAAGGAAGGAAAGAAAGAAAGGTAAAGTACAAAGAAAGCCAGTAGATGAAGGGAAGTTGGAGGGGGAAGGAAGGAAGAGAAAGTGGAAGTAATGGAGATTGAACCCAGGGGTACTTATCCATTGAGCTATATCCCCAGTCCTTTTTTATATTTTTCATTTAGAGGCAGGGCCTCACTAAATTGCTGAGAGTGGCTTTGAACTTGTGATGCTCCTGCCTCAGTGCCCCCAACCCCACTGAATTTTAGGCAAGTAATGGGGATTGTAATAAAGCATTATATTATATTATATTATATTATATTATATTATATTATATTACATGCATGTATAAGTATTTCAAAATGCACTCCACTATCTGTAACTATGGAGCACTAATAAAAATGTTTTTAAAAAGTTTGACCTTGTTTGTATATACATAAGTAATAAAAAAGGTACTTGTTTTTTTTATAAAAACAAAAAGCACAAGGTAAATGATAAATACTATATACATTACCATTTATGAAAAAAAACATATAATACTTGTAAACCTGTAGATAAGAGAAGGATAAGGGAATCTATGCTTTCCAATCTCAACCCTGTGATTCTGTTAAGTTACAGGTATAGGGGATGCATGCATTGGTACCAAGAAGATTAAGAAACAAAACATAGGTTGTAGTGCAAAAGCAATCGACAATGCCATAATTATTCTTTTTCTTTTGAGAAGATGGAGGACAGTAGAGGAAATAGGTAGAAATAAAAAGTTGTTTTATTATTATTCATCTTCATGCTACTTAGATCAAATCCCTGCTATTTTCATTTTACAGAATCATCTATAGGGGTCCTAATGATGATGGCACCAGAATATAATTTGAGGATTAGCACAAAGACTCTGGTAAAACAATATGGAGATTACACAAAAATCTAGGAACGGAAAAACCATATGTCCCACCTATCCCATTCCTTACTATTTATCCAAAAGAACAAAAACCAGCATAGTATAATGATATAGCCACATTAATGTTTATAGCAGGACAATTCACAAAAGCTGAGCTATGGAACCAGCCTAGGTGCCTTTCAATAGATTAATGAGTTAAGAAAATATAACATATATACGCAATGGAGTTTTAATCAGCCATAAAGAAGAATTAATTGATGGCATTTTCCATTAAATGGATGAAACTGGAGGGCATCATGCTGAGTGAAATTAACCAGATTAAGAAAATCAACAATTGAATGTTTTCTCTCATATGCTTCCACCTTCAGATAGAACAAAATAAAGATCTTGGATATTATACAGATATAGGGAAGATGAGAGGAGCAGGAAGAGATCAAGAAGTGGGGAAGAGGATATGAAAGGGGAGGAAATGAAGAATGAATTTGACAAAATTAGCTATGGGCATGTATAAATATACCATAGTAAGTTCTTCTTTTATGCATACTTATAAATAACCAATGATAATAAATTTAAAACTGAGTGAAAGGAATACTAGTAGAGTAGAAGGAAGTTAAGTAACCTAATGCCTCACTTTTGCTGAGGCTGGCTGTGAACTCTTGCCTCAGACTCTGGAGCCTCTGGGATTACAGGCATGCACCACCATGCAAGGCATGATAGAGTTTATTTACAAAGGAATGGGGTTTAATGGAAAAAAGAGGGAAGTGGGTGGGGAGAAAATAAATGAAGACTTGGAAGGCAGAGTTTAGGGAAAGGAGTATGGAGTGAATTGGGATAAAGTTAAAGTAGATGTCTCTAAATAAAATACAAAATAGGGCTGCAGGTGTGGCTCAGTTGTCAGTGTCCCTAAATTCAATCCCTGGTAACTCCCTGCCAAAATAAATAAACTATTATCCTTTTGTCTTTGACTTTGGCCTTCACAGTAAAACAGAAAAAAATGTGTTTTCTGCCATTTATTGGCTCTGTAATCTTTAAAAGTTATTTCAACTTTCAGTACTTATTTGAAAAAAAAWATCTAACAATAATAAGTACCTGATAGGGTCATCATGACAATAATATGCAAAATAAAACATTTCAAGCCCTGCCTGTCACATATGATTGCTTAATACACAATTGCTATTTATTGCTTTTGTTATGTTATTGTTATTTTGGATAAATATCATCTTTCACTTTATAGCTTTCTTTTATCTTTCTTCCTAGACCTTTTCAGTATAAATCTCCAGTCTCTTAATTCTCCATTTTTTTCTTGCATCTGTCTTCAGATCACTTCCTCTACCAGGCAAGAGGCTATGGTCAATGATAAGAACATCCCTCTTACAATGATCTTCAGATTCCTAAATCACCTTTCTGTTGTCAGTGCCCTGGGAATCTGAGGCTTTGGATCAACTTTTCCAGTTAATTATTTCAACCCCACATAGGGATTGTTCAGTACATCTAGAGAAAAACACACAATAGGAGCTATTCTTATCATAGAAGCATGTGATCCCTGATCTCAATTGAACCCTCACTGTTGAATTTCCTTTAGCAGATATTTCAAATTTTCATCCCTCTTTTGAGGCCTTGGCTAATCTCCATTCTCTGTAGCTGCTCGTTCTAAAATTGACAGGGAGTGAATGTCATTAGGCAGTAACTTTGTCAAGTCTCTTACCCTCTGCATATACATTTGCCTTTGCCAGTACCCTCAAGTAAAGCTGTACAATTTCATATTCAAGGCTACTATATTTCCCAAAGCTTTAATGCCATCTACTTTCATTTCCCACAAGATCTTACTGATCACTTATTCCTCTGCTTCCCTCTATTTTCAATACTTTTTATTGACAGGATTCCTCACTAAGGAAGGATCATTCCCTAATAGCTGAAAAAAATTTCTGAATCT